CCGTGCTACCAAGGTTGCGTTTTGGTTGGAGCTTGTCCCGCATCTGCACAACATCAATGAATTTTTTCAATATGTGTCCACCACCACCAAGATCCCTCCACAGGACACCACCCCCTATCCTTACACGAAACGGTTCCCGGGTAAAAACAACTGGCCGTCCACCACACGCCACCCAGGGGTTCCTCCTGCCAACACCAAACAGACCACCGACCAGCGCAAGAGCGGCGACCTGACCGATGAGTCCACTGTGGTCATCGAGACAAAGAGGGACTACTCCACCGAGCTCAGTGTCACCATCGCTGTCGGAGCCTCGCTGCTATTCCTGAACATCCTAGCCTTCGCTGCGCTCTACTACAAGAAAGACAAGCGGCGGCACGAGTCCAACCGCCGTGTCCCCACCCCTCAACGCAACTCCGCTCCATCCAACACGCCCTCCACCGCCAATGACGTGGCCCACCTCCAGAGCGAGGAGCTGATGTCCCTGCAGATGAAGCAGCAGCAGCTAGAGCACGAGCACCACCATGAGTGCGAGTCCATGCAGACCCACGACACGCTACGCCTCACCTGCCCACCTGACTACACCCTCACTCTGCGGCGGTCGCCCGACGACATACCCCTCATGACACCCAGTACCATCACCATGATCCCCAACTCACTGGCTGGCATGCAGCCTCTGCACAACTTCAACACTTTTGGTGGTAGTCAGAACAGTACCAACTTACCCCACGGCCACTCCACCACGCGGGTATAGCTGCATCGGGTCGAGACGGAAGCCGGATTCCCTGTGGACCAGCCACCAACCTCGCAAGGCAGACATGACAAGATAAAACTGTGTGAAGCACAGACTCAGCAGATATTATTTTGCTACCATGCCTTCTTGAAAAGTATATACAGTATAAATTGATAATGAACTCCTGAAAATATTCAAAGTGAATGTTATTATAGTAATAACTCTATTTGGAGCTATATGGAGGGTTTTGGAGAGTTTTACCAAAAGACAAGGCAAACAGGGGCTGACTGTTAATACTCTACCACAAATCGTGAACGGTTGCAGTGTGAAGCCTTTGCAGAGGCTTTTGTGCCATAAATACAGGACAGTTAAGACAATGGCAGCAGTTGTTGAAAAGCAACGGTTGAGCGTCTGGAGCTGCAGCAGACTTTTAGACTTGGGCACAGAATTCTACACCCCAGCCTGAAATGTATTTATGAAAACTTTGTATAAAAAAGAAAAAAAAGGAAAAAAGGTATATAGTTGTGCGTGGAATTTTAAAAATTTTAAAAAGAAAAATATTAAAAGAGCTCCTCCTATTACTGTTCTTATTTTGGCTGAGATCTTCTGTTTTTTTTTTTTTTTTTTTTTTTTTTTTTCCAGCTTGTGAATTTCTGTTTCGATGCGTGTAAATATTCCTGAAACATTCATCATTCTTTTTCTGATTGCTACCTGTGTTTCATACTTTTTATTTCTCACAGAACGACCAAATTGCGAACACAATCCCATCCTCGGAGAGTTGCACACTGTGCGTCTGCAGGCCATCACATCCAGTACTGTCTCGTGCGTTGCTTTGTTTCCACTCTTTTAGACACTGCATGTCCAGGAAGAGCTTTACTCTATTTTCAGACACGTCTTCTGTCTGAGAATGACGACTGACTTGATCCCATCACCTGCTGTCATCCTGTTATGCTTCTGATAGTTTTCTTTGTGGGCTTTTTTCTGTCTTGCAACCTCAGCACTGCCTGAGCTTACAATGTGACCAGCAATGTATTATTTAGAAATAAAAAAGGCAGTGGATTTTTGTATCGATATTAGTTGGATATGTTTGTAAAGAAATATATGTTAGATATTTCAAATTGTCATATGCTAGCAATATGTAAAGTATTGTGCCAGGCTTGTGATATTTTGGGTTACAAAAGCAAGTGAATGAGTGTAAATATTAATGATTATAATTATTATAAAATTACAACAAAAGTTACCATTAACTCTCTTTCTGTTTTGCATCCTGTTACAAAAAAAAAAAAAAAATGGAAGAACATCCAGAAGGTTTTAAGCTACATTTGAAAACGCTGAGATCTATCTTTGCCATTTGGTCCTTGAACCAGTCGAGATAATAAGGGTTTTAACGTAGACTTTTAAAATCCTTAGTTTAACTTATATTTGTTTGCGGTTTTGCCTTAAGTGATAATAGAGATATTTCTGGCTGGACACCTGTATAAACTTTTTCTGCAACATTTTTAATAAAATATCACAGTATTTTCTAAAAAAAAAAAAAGAAAAAGAAATGTGGAAGCTTTGATTGGATGGTTGTGTGTGCAGTTGTGTTTGAATGCCTAATAAGTTATGATGTCTAAAAACTCGTGAGATGCAAACTGTTTCAGCAGAAATACAGTATATATTTACAACCCCAATAACATGTGAGTCTGGACCATAGACTGTATATACTATGGACAACTTGGTTCTGCCGGTATATGGATTTAATGCCGAAAAGCTCTCGGTAATTCTGCGTGATTTTTCTCCACTTCCTGAAACCAACATAGCACAGTAGCTGGAGATGTTTCAGCAGCTGTTAGGGTTCGAGGTAGCCAGCGGTCTCGCTAAACAGTCTTACGATGCTGGTTATCAACCTCGTAAGTGGATCCAGCTTTGCTATGAGCGCGTGCACGCATGTAAGGCGGAGCCCGCCACATCTGACCAATAGCGAACATGGACCAGTTTGGAGCGTCAGAGCAGGCCGGAGAGCGAAGGATCGCAGACTTTACAAGCGAGGAGCAGGAGACGTTCATGAGAAAGTATGAAGAATTCAAATCTATCATAAACCTCAAAAGCAACACCGTCGCCGCTGCAAAAGCACGGAAGGAATGCTGGCAGAAAATTGCAGACAGTCTCAATGCGTAAATATAGTGCGCAAAAAATCTTTAATGCTATTATCACCCTGAAATAGCATTAAAGATTTTTGTTCTGTTCAACATGCGCTTTTAACATGCACCAGACATGTCTGATTCATTTCCAAGATGAATTCATTTGTTCATTCCTATCATGTTTACAGTTTTGTGTGGTATGTAGGCCATATGAGCCTTTCATAAAGGTGATCATCCAGAATAGGGTCTGTGCGGTCCCTAAAGACTCTCGCGCGCCGGAGTGCTCCTCTGACAATGCAAGCACTGAGGTCTATAGGATCCTCCAAGACAGACAAGCTATTTTTCGAGAGAGCTCATTGGTCAGTGGGCGGGGTTTTTAATACTCGGTAAGTTGCCATGGAGACTCACCTTGCTAAGAAGTGAACCCGCGTCGTAGAACAGGAAACCCCGAACTTACCCTCGAAGTTACCTCGCTGAGCAGTAATCGAGCTTGGTAGAACAGGCCCCGTGAGCAATTTTTTTTCGAGCGATTATTTCGGATGTCAATCATTTTTTTCGAACCTGTATCCTGTCAACACAAACATGCTAACCTCATACAACATACCATATGTATTGTCTCAAACTCAATCGCGTTGCTGTCACAGCACCATTAGGTCTCGGTTGTTACCTTACGTTTATGGATTATAGTTTAATGTGCTTATCTGGTACTGGCCCCGACTCAGTACATGCTATCATGACAGACAGACATCTCAACACTAGTCTAATCAGAACTAAAAAACAGTCAGTCTGGTTTTGTGTCAGTCTTCTTGCGTCTTTTTCCCCCCAGAAAGTCGCAAAATCGCATCACACTTGATGTATATAGTCAGGCGCGTCAAAATTCACCTCCAAAATATTTCATAATTTCGCGTCATATATTTGCGTCGTTCCCGGTGTGTAAGGACCTTTTTTAGTGTTAGAAGTTTTTTTTGTTTGTTTGTTTTTTTTTAGCATTACACACCTTTTTTCTGTTTGGTTGTTCCTGTAACAACTTTTTTGCTGGAACATATATTTTTCTTAAAACAGCAACCTTTTTTTAGTTTAGACATTTGAGATGTTGTCTTTTGCACTACTGTCAATCAAGTTTTTGCCTTCAATAATCTGTAAACCGTCAGAGTCTGTATTCACCAACAGTTACATTGTCCAAGCTCCTATTGAGTCCAGGTTGTATTTTTTTCCAGTTCCTTTTTCTGCTCATTGAGAGTTTACAGTAATATCATCCTACATGACCCATTTGCAGTAACTTGAAGGGATAACTATGACTAAAGCAGCTTTTTAAGAATACAACAAAAACAAACCTTTATCGGAGAGATCGAGTTCTTTGGCTCTGAGAGGTACAGAGCTGAAGTTTACCCTTCTAAAGCTCTTATTTAAGAAGTGCCTCTCAGCTGTTGTGACCATGAATGTTAGTCCACATCCTGATGCTTAAATTCTGTTTCCATAAATGTTTCTAAACCCTTTCTGCACAGTTATATTACCTGAAAGCCCTTCCAGTCGGGTCACGAAGTGAGATTCTGTGACCATCCTTCCGCAAGGATGTTTTGACGATTGATTTGACCTCTATGGACCCTTCAGAAAAGATTTAGCCCCCCAGAATTTTTTGCTAGACAGCTAAATTCAAGATGGCGGCCGGCACCATCTCTAAAAATTAACTTTTGATCTGAATGACCTAGAATCATGTATGAAGGCACTTTTCCATACAAGTCAAACACGAGGATTCCAAATCTGACATAGTTTTAATCATACAACTTTATTTTGTCCGCGATATTCAAGATGTGTGGAACAGAGTCAAACAATTTTGTTGTTACCCAGTTCAAATATGATTGTTTTGGGGGGTCAAGTCCTGAAAAGGTTGAGAATCACAGTACTAGATGGCAGCCATCTTGAATATCGCGGTCAAAACAAAGTTGTATGATTAAAACTATGTCAGATTTTGAATCCTCGTGTTTGACTTGTATGGAGAAGTGTCTTCATACATAATTCTAGGTCATCCAGATCAAAAGTTAATTTTTAGAGATGACGCCGGCCGCCATCTTGAATTTTGCTGTCTAGCAAAAAATGCCGGGATTTTTGCGGGGACCTGGGGGCTAAATCTCTTCTAAAGGGTCCATAGAGGTCAAATCAATTGTCAAAACACCCTTGCCAGAGGATGGTCACAGAATCTCACTTCGTGACCCGACTATTCTGTCTCTCAGGATCTGTCCTGCAGAGCATGACAAATCCGGACATGGAGAATCTCACAGCTGAACAGCATTGGAAACACATCGAAATGAAAGTTCTCTCCTATAATACAAAGAAACCCCCTATTTTCCAGAGTCTCTTGTTGCAATGATGCAGTTGTTCACCTCTTATTGAGTTGGACTCGATCAATACCGGCAATCTAGCCCTTGAAACTTTTAAAACATTGAATTGCATCTGCAAACAGTTTGGGCTCTGCCAGCTAAGCTGAATCCTCTGACTGTTTTGGCCTTTTGTGGAGTGTTGTTGTGCTCCGTAAGGGAAAACAAGATGCGCTTCTGAGCTGAATAGCAAAGTGGACTGCTGCTGCTGCTGCTTCTGCTGCTGCGGTTACGAGGCCTCCCCTGACACTCACATCCCGTATTCAGGAAAACTGCTTCAAAGTCGCCTTACCCATCAGCATCAGCACCACCTTAGCTCCTTCTCACCAGTCAATCTATTGATCCAGTTTGCAACAAGCCAAGCAAATTAGCTTTTGACTTAAAACTGAAGTGACAGGGGGAAAATTGAAATCTTTATCGTAATCTGCAGTTACTGAGGTGTAGTAGATGTCTCCATACAATCTCCTGTGAATTTCACAAAGCCCTCACTCCCTCTCCCATGAGCGAAGGGTGATGTGTGAAAACTCTTTTATGAGACAGGGAGAACTTTCTTTCATTAGCTAAAATGTTTGATCCATAATATATGATCCAGCAATATATACATACGCAGATGAATATTCATTCAAAGACCTGCGCAAACAAAGCAGCCAGAATGTGCAGGTGCCCTTTTAATTGGCATGTTGTTTACGCTTAGCGTAATAAGGGGGAGGTTTGGGAGGGTGGTGGTGAAGCAAGAGAATGATGGTAGGGGGTCGGGGTAGGGGGGCTGCTGAGTGTTAGACTCGACTGGAAGTTAATTAAGCCGGCAACAGTGCTCCATCACTCAAGCACGGTCCCAGAACTGTCATTCAAGTGCAGCGCTCTCCAGGCAGCCATTACTGAGGCGTATCGATCGCCATCGTGACAAGGTGGTGCACCAAATGGGAGCGGGCAGAGATGACGGCTTTGAGAGAGAGTGTGTGTGTGTTTGCGGTTTAGGGTGTGGGGAAAGAGTGGGTGAGGTGTTTCCAAGCACATAAACCCAGCAGCAGCAGCAGGAGAGAGTACCGCCACGCTCCCCAAACATGAATTAAAATGCAGGTAAATACACAGCAGCAGAGCCGCTTGATTGCATTTCCTTCCCTGGGTAGCTGCAGCCTTAATAGATGAATATGAAATCTTCAGAGTCAATATATATGCAGTTAAGTGGTGAGGAAAAGAGGCAGTGGTAATGGCCTCCAGAAATCTCCCTCGCATCTTTTACTTTGGGAAATATTGTCCTCAACTCACATTCAGACTCTTAAATAGTTTTCTCCTCAGCTGCAGGACCACGTACCTGACCCCAGGAGTTTTTTTTGCATCACTAGGTGTCCATGGGAATGAGTGACTCAGAGGTGATGGCTGCAAAGGATCATGGGATTCTTGCCAACTGAATTTTTTAATCCCCAGCCAAAGCATGCACAAGATTTCTAATAAAAAAGAGGGTTCCTGGTTTAAACGAGTCAAGTGTTGTATTTCCTGTTAATGTTTGTTGATTTCCAAGAAAAAGACAACATTCAGCCCTGTTTCACATCTCTGCTTGGAAACCACGACATTAAACAGTCATCCAGGGCCTAATTTGACTTGATGGGCTGTTTTGACGAACTTAATAAAGCCTCAAGCAGAGTTGAAGCACGTTCACAGCAGATAATCTCATGGCAGCACTAGTTCACAGTGTTTTTCCAAAAGTCAATCTATGATTATGGTTGAAAGTTGATTTTTGGCGTCAACAAAACAAGGCCTGAAAAATCAATTAAGAAGCCATCTTCATCGTCTTTGTTTAATGTTTCCAATCCCTCAATTTAAAAATGAAAAATATATATACACTGTCTTGGATTTCTTTTAGGTTTGGTTTTCTGAATAAAAGAGGGTCAGAAACATGTTTGAAACATTAAAAACAACATGAATATGACAGATATTCCATCAATCATGTTATTGGTCTTGATTAATATAGATCAGAGATTCATGCGACTACAAGTAAATCTAGTATTTAGAGCCCATGTGGGGAGATTTGACTGTAAGACAAACTCAAATGTCGTCACAAGTGTCATTGTTTTTAGAAATCTAACCAGACCATAGACTGTATTTACTCTAGACAACTTGGTTCCGCCTCCCACCTGTATACAGATTTGAAGCCAAAAAGCTCTCGGTATTTCCGTGATTTTTCTTCATTTCTTGAAACCAACATTAGGCAGTACTGTTGCACATATTCAGCGTATCCTTCGAGTGATCTACGCAATCCTTCAACGCCAATAGGCTGTACGAATTGTCAATCATAGAAAACATGAACCCTCTAATAACTTTTAAAAATGGAGTTTCACAGAAAAAAGAGGACTTGAACACAAACCAGTCTTACTGTAACTACATGTCAACATCGCAAGTAGGGGGAAGAAAAAGTCTCAGAGTGGCTTCACCCAGCAAGGAGGCAGACACTGTCCATTCTATATACAGTCTATGAACCAGACTCATTGATGGAAAACAAAATATTCTTCCATAGCTGTAGACCCCCAAAATGCTATAATGCTCTTCTCCCAGGTGGTGTCTGCTATTTTGCTATCTGAAAAATGGCGATAAAAGTTGGATGTTGGATGTGTCTGACCTGCAGTGGAGTCTGAAGGCTGGTGGTGCTAGCTCTGCAAGTGTTAGCCACACCATACAAGCCAATCTGTCAGTATCCTCTGTGATCCCGTTTTTAGCTTTGTTGAATAAATTAAGCTCAGTTTTCACTGATTTGTGTGTTTTTTTTCTACCTTTAGTCTAGACAGTATAGTAGGTTTCAAAATCCTTTTCTTTTTAGTTTTTTTATTTTTTATTTTATTTTATGGATATACATAGAGGAGATAAAGAAGGCATGTCATGTAGCACATGGTGAGGGTCAGACTTGAGCCCACATGCTTGCGTACTAAACTATCTAGATGCCCCAGGATTCAAAATCATTTTTAAAGACTCAGGCAGAGTCGTGACTTCAGATTCTCCTTTGGGAAGACCAATCTCAGCTTTGGCAGAGACACCACTTGGGTCGATCTACTGAAAGTGCCTTTCTTTCTGAGAAGCTCAGCCTCATTTTAACCTCAAATTTTCAGAAGATCTCTGACTCTCGATATCCTATCTGTCCATTTTCTATAACAGAAACAAGCGTGTTTATAAATGTCTATAAATGCATTCACCATTATCCAAATTAACCTCTCTTTGACTGCAGCCTTTTAACACTTTTATGTGCGGCGATTTAGAGGAAACACAAACAGGCTGAGCGGCAGAAAATCAAGGGTTCCTGGCTGTTTTTACTGGAGATGAAAGGAAAAGATCTGAAAGGTACATGCAGACCAACTCATTTGTTCCGGATTGGAGTAACATGATGCAGCCAGTTTACAGGGCTGAAACTGGACTTTGATCCAGTCCACTTTATAAGCTTTTTGTGTGTATGTGTGTGTGTGTGTGATGGAGTGACCAGCGGGGCCTAGTTATCTCAGATGGACTAATGCTGCCTGCTGCAGGAGGGGGCGTCCGGGGGAAGCAGCTGGTCAGCTCTAATGCCCTTGTTTCTCTTTCCTGTTGTCTGGCTTCAACATCAAACTGACGGTGATGAGCTGAAATGTTTAATTTTGAAGTTTACAGTCGACAGTGTGGACGGAAAAAAAAAGCAAAAAGAGGGGCCACAGTGAGAGAGTCTGCTTTAGCTTAGAGGACAGATGGAGGGTAATTACATGGCCGAATGTGGCCATGTGCTCCCTTTTCTGATGGTGGGCATGTGGGAATAAAATCAGAAATATTTGCTTATTATTGTCAGGGTTTTTCCACTCTGAATAAAGCAATTGCTGCCTGATTCATGGATGTGATGGTTTGAATGTGGTGCCAAAGGTTAGAGGAAGAAAAGAGGGTGAAATTCATGTTCAAGGTGATGGGACACAAAGAGCTGCAGAAGAAAGCAGGATTTTTCTGCCCTGTGGAAGCATCTGCTGCTGCAGAATATTAAAATAATTTCAGGCTGGGAGCCAAAACCCTGGGCCGAGGATTTGCACAATGTTTACCTGCTTGTCAAGCATGTGAGGGAGATTTAATTGAGGCCTTCAGAGGGTCTGTGTTTCATTAGTTTGGAGCCTCTTTGTAATTAAATAAAATCATTAGTGGCACAAATTTTCTACATGCCCCTGAATGATTGCTCTGAATATGACGTGAAAAAGAAAATATCACCTTTTGTTCATGAGAGTCTATTGGAGCACAAATGAATTAATACAAATACATTTTCAGGGACTTTTTTTTTCCTTTCTAAATGAATGTTTTACCTTCAGAATACGAGTTCAAGTCACATTCAGTGTGATGAATACTTTAACAACGCTGTTTAACATATTAATACATCAATAATTCACGAGTCTTAAAGGGAAAGCATGTTATTATTATAAATTACATCCACCTGCAGCTAATCAGTTTGAGATTAAATTTAATGTTGGTGTTATTAATGCCATGTGTCCAGGAAGCCTTTTGTGTGAGGTAAGTGGATTTTATTTCAATCTGTGCAGCGAGAGCTCCGTTTCTGCTGGAGCTTGTTTTGGCTGCTGTAAATTTAAAGATGCGAAAGGAGATTTAAAATGGTTGCATGGAGACTCTGATGGTCTTATTATTAATAAAGAAAAGATTTCACAGGGATACAAATTAAGACAAGTTGCTGAAGTAGTAGATAGACTTGTTTGAAATTGTTTGTGCATATTTTGTCTTTTCTGCAGGTCGAACATGAGACTTTTTTATTCCTCTCCAAGGTCAAAGGGAATCCTATAGAAGCTTGTTGCATTCACTTACAAAAAATAACCAGCAAATGCATGAATGGCTAACTAATTCAACTTGATCAATATAGCAGAGCAGACAGTGTTAACCTAATGAAAATATTCTAATTATTCAAATTTTTTATGTGAAAAATACAAACTTGTATTGCATTCACTTGCAATACAAAAAAGAAAATAAATGGATGAATAAAAGAAAAATTTTGAGTATTTTTTTGTGCTGTTTTTCTGATTATTTTTTTTTAATTTTTGTTTTCTGACTGTATGTTTTCCTGTTTTTTGTACTAATATTTTTCCCCCTCTTTCCATTTTTAGGACAAATTTTTTATTCTGTTTTTCATACTTTTTTCATCTTTCTCTCCCTTCTGACTTTTTTTTTTTCCTAACCAAGTGAGATACTTCAAAATCCTTCGATAATCTCATACAATCAGATAACGTTAACCATCGCAGCTGCTCCAAAACAGCGGATTCTCCAGCTTCTTAATAACCAGGACTACGGGGTCAATGAGAGTAAAGGTCCTTACACAACAGGACCTTTTTTAGGCGATTATTTCGGACATCGATATTTTATTTTTCGAACCCGTATCCTGTCAATACAAGCGTTTACATCAGTGTCGTTTTCCCATCCTGATATTGGGGCATTTATTTTTTCGGATCACGGTCGAATTTTCCTAAGTTTTGCATACTGTGTGTGTCCACTTCTGACCAATCAGATTGCGTGCTGTCGCGACATCTGATTCACCGGTATATCCAACATGGCCGACCAGCTGTTTGTTTACGTGTCGCAGAACAGAGTGCTTTTTGATAAAAAAACACAAATATTACAAAGATAACGACCTGAAGGACAACTTGTGGAGAGTCATAGCGTCGGATTTCTCATATGACGATGGTTTGTGTGCTTTAACAGTTTGCTAAACGTCTTTGTTTTAACTTTCATCTGTGCTAAGTAACTTTAGCTCGTAAGCTAACCTGTTCAGATACAACATACCATGTGTATTTTCACTGTCTCAAACTCAATCGCGTTGCTGTCACAGCACCATAAGGTCTCGGTTGTTACCTTACGTTTATGGATTATAGTTTAATGTGTTTATCTGGTACTGGCCCCAACTCAGTACATGCTATCATGACAGACAGCCATCTCAACACTAGCGTCTAATCAGAACTGAAAAACAGTCAATCTGGTGTTTTGTCAGTCTTCCTGCTTCTACCCAGGATGCGTCTTTTTTTCCTCCCAGAAAGTCGCAAAATCGCATTGCGCTTGATGTGTATAGTCAGGGGCATCAAAATTCGCCTCCGAATATGTCATAATTTCGCATTGTTTATTTGCATCGTTTGGGTGTGTAAGGATCTTAAAGCATGTTATTAGTTAGACATAGGGTATGCAAATGCTAAGGTGCCTGCGCAAAGTAGACAAACTTATGGTGATTCCATCCGTCTGACTTAAAGAAAGGAAACTTTTCCAGTGTCTCAAACCCCAAAGAAAATTACACTTGATTAAAGTAAACAAGTGGGCCATGTTTCCAATAAATCGAGCAGAGATGGATGAAACGTCTGTTTTTAAATTATTATGATCCCCGGCAATAAAAAAAAACAATTAGTCTGAAAAACAAAACAAAACAAAAAAATAGACAAAAAAACAGGAAAAAAAAATGTACTCTGAAAAAAAGAAAAAAATCGTCCGAAGAAAAGAACAGAAAATAAATGAGGGTTTTTTATTTATTTATTTATTTATTTTGTGAATGCAAAACGCTTCCGTATAATCCCTTCATTTTTGGAAATGCACGGATATATTTTCTGCCGCTTTCCAGGATTCCGTTTCATCATGATTGCTTGTGCTTTTCACCAGGACCTACAGTAATACTTCAAAGTGATTTCTATGCAACCTGTGTGGGAGACAGAAAAGCACATACAGTACCAACCTCACTGACCTTTAACAGGATAAGTAGTTTAAGAGGATGGATGGATTTGGTTGCTGAAAGCCTTTTGCATTCGTCTGCATCTTTGTCATAATGTGCACAAGAATGTTCAGGATTTTATTGCGCGGAGGAATCTGAATAATGTTTCTCTAAATAAAACAGCTGGCTTATAAACACTGAACTACAAATCACAAGGCTGTTTGCAAGATTTTTTATGTTGGCTATAAACTATAAAAATGCTGGATAGATAACTTTTGTGACCATCATTTTATTCTTCAGTTTTATTCCTGAATAAATCCACTTCAGATGCCTTATGTTCTCTGTATTCTGCGTTTCAATGCAGATCAATTTAAAAGCTTTGCTGACAAAGAAGTAGACTCTGACAGTGATGTAGATTGTTTTCTATGCAAATGAATAATAATATGCTGTACAATGTCAAGGTGCTGTGCCACATTACATGTTTGAATGGGGGATATTTCTTTGTCTATCCTCATCCACTGTACTGGAGTTGTACTATCCTTCTGCAGTTAAAGAAGTTCATAATGTCCTGATGAATTTATTGCAAATTAAATAAAAAACTTGCTTGTTTTTACAAATGAAAATTAGTAATGCAGGCACATAAAATCATGCAGCAACAATTGACCGTAATGATGCCAACACATTTTTTTTTGTTTTTCATACTTTTTTTCGTCTTTCTTTTTTTCCCGAATATTTTTTTCTCAAGACACTGGCTGCAGACCTCCACTGTCAGGACCCTTCGTTGCAAATCTCTACTGTGAGGACCATAGACTGTATATAGAATGGACAGAGTCTGCCTCCTTGCTGGGTGAAGCCACTCCGAGAACAGCACCCTCTGTTGACGGGCATCAGTATAGGTCATAAATCCTAATAAATCATAAATCTGAGCGTCATCGCAGCGACTCAGTATTTCCACAATTTTCTTCATTTCCTAAGAGCTTTTTGGCTTCAAATCCGTGTACAGACG